AAAGGTGTTAGAAAAATTAATTTTCGATAAAATGATTTCATCAGTAAAATTTAGGATCTCAAACTCACAACACGGCTTCCGACAAAAACGATCTACTGTTACAAACCTCATTGAGTATATCTATGAGGTATATACTTACTATGATAATATCGAAACAATTTACCTGGCTTGCCTCTACCTAGATTTCCAAAAGACATTCGACAAGGTGAACCAAGCAATCATAATTGAAAAAATTAGGAGATTTGGTTTCACAGGACAATGTTTAAAGCTACTAAAAATGTATCTAACAGATAGAAAACAAACCATTCGCATTAGACAAGCATTACCGAGCCATTACCAGTACACAGTGGTGTGCCTCAGGGGTCAATTCTCGGACCTTTGATGTTTATTCTCTATATAAATGACCAGATTGTGCAATGTCAGCAAGTTTTGGCTAAGAAGACGATTACAAAATTGTTTGCAATGACCCATTAATTGTAAATATCGATGCGAAGCGAATTTTGAATTGGTGTGTAAAGAATTCTGAGGCAGTAAGTGAGTCAAAAACTAAAATTCTCAGTGTGAAAGGAAATGCAAAAATTTAAGTTAATGGAACTGTTCTTCAAGAAACAGCAGAAATGAAAGATTTAGGTCTTATAATCACTAGCACATTAAGTTGGACTGAAAATGCTACAAATAGATCTGCCAAAGCGCTGAAGGCATTATGCTCCGTGAAAAGAAACATCTCCAAAATAACAACAAAGGCCATGAAATTAAAATCATACAAATCATATGTTGCACCTATTGTAAGTTATGGCTCATCATTATGGAAACCCTCAAAAAGAGATCTCAAAATAATTGAAAGTGTACAAAAGAAAGCAACAGCATGGATATTGAGTCCAACTCAAGAATACAAAGACTGATTGATTTCCCTGCATATCCTTCCTCTGTCACTTTATCATGAACTACACATTCCACTGCTACTGCCCAAAATCCCAACTGGAAAACTGACCTACAATGAAAAAAGTTCATAAGTGTTAATGAAAAAGGACAAACAAGATATGCGAGTAGGAAAAAATACGAAAGCAAACAATTTCGACTGCAAAAAACAGAATCTGATTTTTTCCTGAGAGCCTGCAATATTACGAACGCCTTGAATCAATCCCTCAAATTCGATATCATGGATCACGAAACCATAAAAGAACTAAATTATAATAACGAATACTTTCTGGAGATATTTAAAAGAGATATTCAACGAAAACGATCCATGCTCGTGGACTGCCGATGCATGAACTGTAAAAACATTAGAAAACTAAACTTTTAAAACGTTTGATTTGACAAAAACTGAAAGGGAGCTATCTCGCTTGGATTTATTTTTCCTAAGTTCTTGTCTATTATTATGATTATGATTATTATTATTTTTATACAATATATTTCACAAATTATAAACTTTCGCTGATTGTCAGAATCTCACAATCAAAACATTCATTGCATGGAGACGAAACACAATCAGATTGTGTGTTGCCTTTTAAATAAAAATTGATTTGTTTAAAAAGAACAGTTGTTTTGAGCTCATTTTTAGCTGCATCTTTAGATGCATAAATTTTTTTAAAAAATTTTTTTTTTCATATTTTTACCAAAAATTGCCGCGTTTCCGGTAAAATAAGCTGCTCAAAACTGTTAACACCAAAGCTAACACTTTTCTACATTTTCGCGTAAAAACTGCGATTCTAGGTTGTTTTCAGCAGTTGTTTGCACAATTGTTATACTTTGATGCTAAATTAGGGTTTATCATTGTAAAGAGACGTAACTAAGTTTGAATTCAATTCGAAATTTTGATTTTTTTTCAGCGCTGATTCAGGAATTTATCATGGCTAAATTATCCATGATTATTATTGAGAATATTAGCCATGAAACAGTTATGAAATAACCCTGAACCATCGCTAAAACTTCATAAAAATGGGATATGCCTGAATAAGCCATGAATTTTTCAACAAAACTGAGATATCTCTGAATCAGCGATAATGTTTCCTGTCAATTCAAGACGGGTGTGGACCACTAGAAACAGGATCTCTCTTCAAAAACACTAGTTTTTGATTCCTAGTCTCCATTATTTATTGGGGAAGATGGGCTTACTCCTCAGTAGTTTGCCAAATGCGTCATCCAAAAACACTCGTTATTCCAAATCCAATTGAAACAATATAATCAAGGATTTATTCTGCTGCTTTTCGTTTCTTTAAAACAGACTACTTGACTGTCCTTTTGCGGGGTTGTCTGAGTTTGAGTACAAGTTAATATGGCGTATCATTTTGGTTCGATAGAAATACAGACTTAACAGACAAACTTTTTCCTGGGAAACTATTATTTGAACATGATAAGGCAACTTAGCGGCCAACAACCTCAAAAAACTGTATTAGAACAGTTGAAGCATTCTTTTGTAACAAAAATAGGTTAATGAGAAAACTCAAGGATTAGTACCCAATCCTAATACCCAGCATACCCAAAAATAAAATGCTGCAAATGAGGACTTGAAAAAGATGAATAAAAAATCTCATGCATGTATTCAGCAGTTGATTGTTCCGACCATTTAAAAGGCGGAGGAATTTTGTATTCGGGTGTGTTTTAGTTTTTTTCTTTTTTTTCCCACGCAATATTAGGTATCTCAAATTCTTATCGGAATTGGTCGAGTTATATATCATTGTGAAGTCCTTTCAATCGTGATTCAAACGACTTTTCAAATTTCGAAAACTTTTCCGCAGTGTCGAGAAAAACCGGTATGAAATTTTTGATTTTTGGTCTACGTTCTAGCTAATAAGCTTACAATAGCTTAATTAAACCGCGAAACTTTAGTTTTACTCGAGTAAGGTTAGTTTTTCGAGTTGTTTAGCGCCAATTTGGGAATCAAAATTTTCAAAATTTCGAAAAAGTCTGTAAACAATTAGAAAAAAAAGCTTAGAAAAAAAGACTCAATTATGTATAAAAATGAAGTTGTTTTAAGACTAGGATTGGAAACTTCTGTGCAATTTGCACATTAATCGGCAATTTTTTTTAAATTGAAATAAGTTTTTATCAATTACCAATTTTTTTCGACCGCCGAGAAATTAAAAGGCGGAAAATGATCTCCTATAAGGGTCAATGAAGCAAACAGAAACCTCTGAACTTTGTATACTGACAAGATTTAGAGCTTCAGATTTTCTGCCTAAACATGCATTTTTGGTCGTTTTTTCTCAAGCTATTTTAGCTCTGGAATCCAGGAACATACAGACACAAAATTGTGCTCCTATCCAGTGCACAGTTTGGCCTCGCATTGAACCGAAAACTTGAAAATTTTGTCTTTAGTAAAACCAATATCATGAAAAATCATACCTTAAAAATTTTATTCAATAGTTTTCTATGCCCGATCTAATATGTAGGTTCTGTACTGAAGTTCACAATTTCTCAAATGAAAAAATTACTAGCTTTTTATTTTAAAATTTCTGTTAACCATTCAGGAAAAAAATTGTTTTGGGAGCTTAAGATATCCAGTCTTAGAATTTTTAATGGTCTTATAACAGATATAAACTTTTAATACAATATTTCAATAGAAACCAGCTAATTCATTTCTCTCAGAAAAATTTCAATAACTAACAATTTGTATTTAAAAAAAGAAGTTAAACTTTACGATGGATCAAAAAGTTGGTTTTCAAAGATGGAATTTTGAATTTTAGCACTATAACATGCTGACATGCCGCTGTGGCCAAAACCAGTATGTAGGTAAACAAAAAAGTTTTTTCCTCATTCGAACATTGTCGAAACATAGACGTCTTAAGTCAAGACGTTCGAGTCATATCGAGCGTAGGTCGAGACGACGAAACATAAATCGCAAACCTCAACCCGGGATAACATAAACCTGCATACTCTGTCATTTGTCTCGCTATGATTAATTCAAGAAATTTTTGCCTTTTTTTTGGAAAACTTTTCCTCACTCTCACCCCAATTAGACCAAGTTTTTAGGGAGACTCCATGTAAAGAACAGTATGGACTAGTGTTTTTGGTAAGTCAACTCGGTAGAACATACCAGGGACCAAGTTAACATCCCCCTCTCCTCCCCCAAATAGACCAAGCTTAGATCCTCCACCCCTGCGTTCAATTTAAATTAAATTTGCTAAGCGTGTGAAATGCTATATCCTGATTGAATTGACGTTTGAAATGAGAACCAAATAACTTCCTCCCACTAAACGCCTTGTTGGGTTGTTAACTTGGTCCTACACCTGTTTAAAATTGATGTTAAGAAAAGAAATTCGGCTCTATAGATTGATAGCTGTGAAAAAAAATGAAGCGAATCTAAAAATAATACTTTATTTTTTCACATCAATCGACAGTTAAATTTTTTACACCAATCGACAAACAGCGCTTTAAAAATTAATTGCCCTGATAAGATACAATTCTGCTCCACATTTAAATTTGATCATATTTAGTAGTTGGGTACAAGAATATGAATTTGCAAACTAAAAAATTAAGTACATTTTACACTACTGCATGAAACTTTTAAAAAAAATACAAGGAAATTACTATATTGAAGATGTCTGGCAAACCAGGCGACAGCTCTTAAGACGACAACAATTTTTGCTGGGAAATTAAAGCGAAACTTCCAATTGTTCGATAGTATTTCTGAGGAACATCTTAAATTCAAATCAAATCATTTTAAATGTTCTACGGCTCATTAGTCGTCCTAATTTCAAGTCGTGTTAGGGTTCTGTCGTCTTATTTAACTAGCACCCATATTGAAATGACATTTAGTAATTCTGTTTCAACATTTAGACTCTGATAGAAGTTAGCTTCGTCCTTGAGGTAGATCTAGGACCAGTTGCAAAAATTCGAAACTAAAAAAACTAATAAAAAACTCATTTGATAGAAAATTTGGGTCCACTAAGCAATTTCGTGCCCCATTAAAGTATCCAAACACTTTTGAGATGTACGCAATAACTCTTCCAATATTTTGAAACAATTGAAACTTTTTAAACTAATTTTTTTTCCTTTTTTTGTGTTCAATCTTTTTGCAATCCTCGTTGAAGCTGTTCGTAATTAACATCAAACGACAAAGTAGATATAATAGAAGAAAGAAATTTAAGCGCCTGCAAAATTAAGTATTCTGCTTTGCTCGTACATACGCCATATATACAACAACTTTTAAGTGAAGCGTACACAGATATCACAAAGAACTTTCGCAATTGTCTTGTTTTAACTCGATGCCATTTTTTTCTGAAATGCTTTCGAGAACGTCTTTTTGAATTTTGACGAAGTGTTCTTCGCCATTTTCGTTGTCCTGGTCTTTTTCCGACAATCGCTGAAAAATCGAATCTTTTGCTGGTTCGGCGAAAGTTGATTCTTCTCCAATGTTGCTTGCGGCTGTCATCGAAACTTTTCCATCACGGCCTGAGTTGTCTGCATCACTTTTAGAATTGACCTTGATTGGGGTAGTCAAGGTCATTTTTCTGTTCATTTCGCTGGGAACCCCACTAATGATCCCTTTTGTACCATTACAGGTCATACTGTGGTTGACATTGCTGGTCACATTCTTGCTGTTGTCGTGAATATTGTTGCCTCCCTTTTTGTTTCGACTAATCAGTGCAGTCGCATCATTGGCTGCAAGTGTTTGTGCCGCTTGATTTTCTTTTTTGTTCTTGATCTGAAACAAAAGATCAACTAATTACTGATTTGCCTGTCTTTAGGGTCGATTTTTGTTCTCAATATTTCTTTATGATCGCATTGCCGAAATACTCAATTCATATAAATTCTTTAATTAATTTGAAATTGTTCAGGTATTTTGCTGTCTTTTTTTTAACAAGAAATGATTAAATAAATCAAATACTTTGAGATTGAAGTAGTAAAAATAAGGTTTTAAACATTTTTAAGGCTTGGTTGTTTTCATTTTAGAAAACCTTATGAGGGTTTTTTGAGCTTTAAACCAAGTCACAAACATCGTTTTGGTTTTTTAGCTAAGCGTATTTTTGCAGATTACGTTTTTAGAATGGGAGCGCTCTAGTTTGAAAGCCTCAAAAAAGATAAAAGGCTAGTTAAAATTTAATCCAAATCAGACCTTGCAAATAGTTTCCTTTTTCTCCTCAAGGTACTTATGTCCATTTGTAACGACTCTTCTGCGGTTTTTTAAAAGAGTTGCATGTAATGCTCCGGTTTATCAAATCACTCTTTTCTAAATAAAGTAGGATAGTAGTCATTTTTTTAAATTGTTTTTGGTATTTTTGGATTGTATTTTGTATTGAAATTCAATTTAAGATAATCCTCTTATGTTTATTTAACAAACATTAACAAGAAAGGATTTGAGTATTTTTCGTCAATTCGAAAGAGAAAAAAAAATCAGTCGCAAAAACGGAGGAAATCTTTTAAGTTGTTTGATAATCAAAATAAGGAAAGTGCTTCGACAGCCAAGGTGGCGTCTGAAATTTGCGTTTTGATAAAGTCTATGTTTTCGAAGTCAAGGATGTCTGCATGTAGTAGGGTGACTCATTTAAATATTCCAATCAATTCATAATAACGTTCAACCAAAAAAATCAATTTGAAGAGCGCGGGAAACGCTACTGGACTTTTTCTATTCCATAATTGCTTAAACTACTTGAAATACAAAGATAACTCTGTCCAATGAATGCTAACAAATGGATCTAAATTTAAAATGACATTTTATTATTTAAAATGAATTGTTTCAGAATATGTCGAATAAAAAAAATATAAACGAAACCGCTTGTATCAGGGCGGAAAACGGAAGCGTCTGTCTTCCCCTTTAGGTCAACCGAAAGCTTTTTCATTACAAAAACCTTTGAAACGTTCGGAAAAATGTGAAAAATTATAGTTTTTATTATTTCTATGGCTTTTCTTTTTTTCCCCTTCACCTTGCATAAGCTTCAATTTTATGATGTAAAAAGTGGTTTAACAAGGTTAAGTATGAATTCCAGAAATTCTTGTTAAGGCTTAATTAATCCGTATTTCAAGTTTCATAACAGATGGACAACGTTAACAAAATCCTAACTTTTCCTCCAAAAGTACAAAAGATTATATTTTACGTGCGGTAACGTTATATTGAGAGCCAATTGCTTGCCTTAGTTCAATTGGAATTGATTTATCAAATTTTTTAGATTTTAAATGACAAAAAACAGCAAATTGAATTATAGCCAACAATATTCAGTATTTTTCTTCAAAAAACGGAACAGGTACACACACACACACACACACACACACACATATATATATATATATATATATATATATATATATATATATATATATATATATATATATATATGTGTGTGTGTGTGTGTGTGTGTGTGTGTGAGAGTGTGTGTGTGTGTGTGCGTAAGCGTGTCTGTGTATGTGTGTGTGGTAATGTATAATGACTGTGATCAACATCAGCATCAATTGTTTCTGAAAAAATATGAAGTTCAAACTGAGCCAAATTATTAGTTTGTACTTGTTTCGAAGCTATCAATTGTTCTCGTTGCTAGCAAGATTTTCACTTTCTAATTATGACAATTTACAAATTTGAGAAAAGAAATAAATTGAATCTGCTCTCTGTTAACGTATGAAATTGGTGCGATATTTTTAATTTGTTTGATTCATTTTGACAAATAATTAGATGGCATTTTTTGCATAGATGAAAATTGAATTGCAAAAGTTAGATTCATAAAAAATGATAAAATTTTCCAAAACCAAAACTATCTCACATACGAATAATGAATAATGTCGTTGCAAGCTATCAGAATCGAATGTGAAACGATTTAGGAAATTGCAGTATATCGAGTTTAACAAATTTTTCTGTCGTAAACGTTTTCATCTGCTGGCAATTCAACCCATCGGGAAAACGCACGTCAGAATGCTCTTTTGCAGCAAGTAGCTGTAGGCTGCCAAAGCTTAGTAAATTCTTGGCGTTTTTGTATTGATATAGAATGCCCATTAATAAAAACGGTCACTTTACAACCATTTCCATGTCAGACTGTTTGATCACAATGTTACATTTCTTATGCCTCTACATATAAAATAAAACATCGTGATCAATTTATCTGATTGCATGATAAACCGAAATCTATTGTAAAGTTGTTATTAATTTTGAAAATGTTACGAAAAATAAGCAATATTTTAAAATAAACCAAAATATCTTTTGTACAGTTGTTATTAGTTTCAAAAATGTTTCTAAAATCAAGCAAATTTTGTTCAAACGAATTGGCGTCAAAATTGAGATTAAAGCCTTCATCAAAGCTTCTGACCAATGATCCCGAGTTTTTTTTGCTAAACTCTGTCTTCTTTTATCATAGATGTAATAAAACTTATATAAACCTAATAATGTTTAAAACTTTTTTCACATATTTTTTTCTTAGTCACTGATGTTTAAGATTGATTGAGTTCTATTTTGGTTGAAATTATTTCAAATGATAATTTTTCAAGTTAATTTTCAATAAATTTTGAGTTTTCAAGAAGACCAAGTTAGAATTTTTTGAAGTTTCAAAGACATTAGAAAGCCCATGCTGGGTCTAAATACTTTGATCATTATGCAAAGTGGAATAAATTCTACTAGTTAGCTCAGAGTTTTGGAAAAATTCAGTTCGAAATGTATTTAAATTTAGATTTTTTTCGTCTCGCAGTTGAATATCATAGGAAACATGGTAATGAAATTTTGAAAAAATAGAGAAAAAAGTAGAAAAACAAAAAAAAAGAATCAGATATTTCAGGACCAGTTTTCGATCTTGTATCCAAAGTTTCACGATCTTGTCTCTTATTGTCTGGCTTACTGTATACCTCTACTTTTGTAACAAGGGGCGTAATGTTTGGTAGAACTCTAAAGCCAGCTTTCATATGAG